GTCTCCTTTTCCTTCTCTCCCTCTTTGTCTCTATTTACTCTCATTATTGTTTTGTGTTCGTTTCATTTATATTATTGAGCCTTGCCTAAGACGTTTGCACTCATTCTATCTTGTTCAAACTCGCTTTGTGTCTTTTGTGTCCACCTGATCCTCCCTCCCACACAACTGCACTTGGCGCAAGGGGATGAAGGGTTGCGGCGTGCAGAAATTCATCACCCCGCGCGAAAGCTCCCCTTTGGCCGAGGAGGGTCTCTTCCTGCTCTTTCGTCGCCCTGCGTGAGGAGGAAGGGCCCGGGGCGTGTGGCGCGGAGGACAGACCCGCGGGTCGCCCGGCTTCGCTCGGTAGATCCATCTACGGGCGCGCGCCGCAGTTTGCGAAGTAATCATTGCGTCAGTGTTTATGAAAGCCCACATTTTAAAGAAGTTTCGACTGAAGACGCGGAGCGCCGGGAAGTGTTGGTGACGGGGACGGGTGGAGAAGGGAGGGGGAGGGTAGAGGCTGTCCTCCGGCATGCACGCGCCTTCCGTTCCTCCGCCCCTCCCCTCTACTGGTTAATTATAAACGGGCCGGAGGAGAAGGGGTTGGGGGCGGGGTTCTTTCTCCTCTCCCCTCCCCCCACTCGCCAGATGGTGTGGCGAGCGTTTGCATAATTCACGCGACTTCGTTAGGCGAGTCGCGTTCTAAATGGATCCGCGCGTAAGGAAAAAGAAAATTCCTCTCTCGCCGCTCCCGCTCCAGCCTCCCCCCCAACCCCTCATCCTTCCCCTCGCTCCCACGCCCCGCATTCTTCTGCCAACTTCCCGCCTTTTCGCCCCCCACCCGCCGCCATTGCCTTCTCATCCTGCGCGCGTCCGTTCCTTCAACTCGCCCGTCGTTCCTTCCGCGATGTTTTCACTCCCTCGTCCCGACGCTCCCCTACCCCTGAACCCCCCTCCCCTGGTTTCTCGTGTCCGTCACCGTCGTCATTATGTTTTCACCACACGCTCATTTCCGCCGGGCTGTTTTTCTCTCACCGGTTTGCTCGCGCCGCCCGTGCTTTCTTTTTTTTTTGTGTGTCTTTTCTTTATTTGTTTCCTCCGTCTTCGCGCGCAAAATGTTTTCATTTCTTAAAAGGCTTTTTGCAATAATTACCGCAACGACAAAAGTACATGAATTACGTCTTCGCGGGAAGGCGAAGAATAAGAAAAAGCTCTGTTGCTGCGCTCCGGCTGAGGGCCGTGTCTGAAGGCTAGGGAAGGGGGGGGGGCTGTAGGGAGGGGAGGGAAAGAGGGGAGCATGGTGATCGCGGAGAGTTTAAAACCCGTCGATGGCTTTTTCTGTAGTTTGCTCGGTAAAAGCGTCTGCCGGGCGGTGATAACCAATCCGCGGCGATCGCGTAGACTCCACGCGGCCGCTTTGAGTTCGTAAATTGACGTTTGTCGCGCTGCCAATTGAATGCTTCGGAGAACGGTGTTGCTCGCTTGAGAGGTTTGGCTCTGGTGGATGTGGAAAGGCGAAATGCTGCTGATTCGTCTTTGGTGGAATGGTGGAAGTAACGTCCCCGGGATTGCGGACCATTAGCTGCGTTTTGGGCCAGCTTTTCTGCGGAAGTGAAGTTTCTCTCATTGCGTGAACGAGACTTCACTAACTTCTGTCTCGGTATTACAATTTGTTTCAATACAGAGTTCTAGGAAGGCAAGTATACGTTAAAGCCATTTATTCTGCAACATAGGCAGTTACTTTACAAATATATAATACTCTAATATGTTACTTAAGAACTCACATTAAGAAACATTCGAAAAAGATAGTCATTGCTCATTGATGATTCGCTGACTAATGCGTCGTACATTAATTGCAGTATTTAGCAATTTTAATTATGTATATTTCGCTGATGTAAAATGTCATCGGAATTCGATAGATATTTTTGACTTCAGGGAAAATTTAAAGATTGTTAGAGCAAATCTTTCGAGGTATAAAAACTAGTGGTGCTGCAGCACAACATAATTTCTTGTGTTACTGGTAACGCTTAGGACATGAAATTGTTAAAAGATGTAAAAATGTAAGGATTGTATTGAGAGAGAAATCTATAGTTTCAGTATCGTGTCGAAAAACATTTTTTCCCTTGCAGTTTTCGAAATTCCCTTAATTGTAATGAAAGTCGCTCGAACACCTATAGAGCAAAGTTTATTCTATTAGAGAAGAAACAAATTAAAACTATTTTTTGAGAAAATCTGTTTGTTTTTTTTAATATAATTTCGAAGAAAAGATTCCAGGCAGAAAAAGTTTGTTATTTTCGTCCAAAGACGGCATCGAAAAAAGTATTTCGCTTTTTCCTTAATGTCTGCTATTTTCAAATATTCCATGAAAATCAAACTTTTTTCAACGAAATTTAATGGTTACTTGCTTGAATATGTGAGAAGAAAAATGTTGAATTCCTATGAGTAATTATTTTTGAGACTACAAACTTCCCATTTTTCTTCAAGTAAAATGTGGAGGAGTGGCATATCTGAAAGTGTATCTCGTATTGAGAAAGTTCTGAAACTTGCTTGATGCCCCTTCATTTTTATTACGCATTTCTCAGTGTAGTACTTCTGCAGGAAACCCATTTTTCATTCAAATGTTGCCAGTTGACTTTTCTACTACAAAATTACTTGCACTTCGAAGTGTACCGTTTCGCAGAGCAGGCGAATAGGATACAACACTCAGGCACAAAATGTATGCGAATAGACATTCTCTATGTGTGAATTTGTATTGTTCTTCAAAAAATTTCATCGTGTGTATTTTGTTATGTTTGTTCCGCAATCGTACCTAGATTTAAAAGATTCCTGTGTCATGTTCTTCCTTATCACGGTAATTTTATCACATTCTGAGAATCGCATTGAACGATTTGAAGGATAATAAGAAAGTGGTGCAGAATTTAAACTGTGAGACCAAAATTTGCACATAAGCACTATCCGGAAAAACTTTCCACTTAAAGTCAATACGGAATCGAAAGACTAAATAAATGTTACTTTTGAAAATGTCTTCAATATTTTATTTTCAATATGGTTCTTCTTTGGACCACATGGAACACGTAGACAGGAAGTTGGCAGTCAGCTGACGAATACCCATCAGATATGGACGACGTGCATATGAACTCTAATATCTCCTGTTTGGACAGCTGTTGCCGTGGGTTAGTGGTTAGCGAGGCAGGTTCATAATCCAAAGGTACGCTGTTCGATACTCTTCCAATCTTCCGGATTTTAATTTCGGATGGACGGTGCATCTCCTTCGTGGAGGGCATTGCGATTGTTCCTGAACATTACAACGTGAATTGCGAGTATGGATCGTGCGACGGCAGGATGTATCCGGCTTCTTCAGAGGGTTGCCTGGAGACGCCACGCCGTATAGTAAGGTACTCAATGTACTGCGGACCAGGTGCGGTAGGCTTCAAGCATTGGCCTGCCGTGTATAGCGCCGCAAACATTCCACTTTTTAACAAAAAAGTGGTGTGCATGTTCAAGTTCGAAGTGAATCTTCCCCAAAAGACTCCCAAAGGACAGTTCTGCTCTAATTACCAATGGGTATTACCAATGCGTCAGTTATGGGCGTGTTTCCACCTTGTGGTTGTGATTTGATTGGCAAAAACACTGTGGAAGCGTTCCAATAGTTGCAATTAATTACGATGAATATACTATTTGCAAAAGAAAAATACAATTGTTATAAAAAAATATGATAATTAAGTATATCCTATGCAGAAAGTTTTAGCAGGACTCAAGGGTGTTACGGGAGTGAATGGCGTAATGTTAATCACATCGCGATTAGGATTACAGTCTCAATACACTTGCGGCACCAGGGGGTAGATCCAGCCGATCAGTTTGGAGCGGGCCATCATAGGTGTGTTAAATAATAAACATTTGTTATTATATTTTATTTTTTTGTGGTGTTTATATGATCCTATATAATATTATCGTTTAAATAATTACTTAATTTACCATAAATATTTAAATTAATTTTGTCAAATAAAAGACGGTTGCAAACGAAAACTCTAGGCCTTGGGGTGGGGTCATGACACCCACGCCCCCCCCCCCCCAGATCCGCCACAGTGCGGGACTAATGATCTTACGCGGAGAGAAGTGTTTAGTTCATACAATTAGTCATGTAGATTCAACTAAATGGTATAGTATATTTTGGAAGAACAAATGGTTAGTCACGTTCACTAAACTGCTGTAAACACCAATACACGTGAAGTAATGTTAACTGAACAGGTCGTAGCCCGTGACGGATGGCATCTTGCGGAGATAACTAAACGAATCGTTGCGTTGAGTAATACATAAGCACATTGCTGTGAAAATAACTAAACGAAACGTGACATTTCTTTCTATTCCTTCAGGCAGGTAGCAACTGGAGTTCCGGAGCGGTGGTCCATCCTACGACCCCGTGGACTCGTACTTCCTTAACTTTGTTTACCTGACAGACTGCACCCAAGCAGAAAAGTTACGGAGGCAGGTTGCCGACATTTGGCTACCGACACTATTTCTACCATTACTTTAGAATATACCGTACTAATTATTTAAAAGCAGTAAAGTGCTAAACACGCTATTCATCCTAATTATGTATAGGGCGTTGCATTCTCACACTTCACACTGGCTCTGAAACCTTTCGAATTGGTCAGATGGCTGAGAACGCGCGCTTACTAATCAGTGTTGTGTGTAGTAGTGTGACGAAATGAAACGTAGATCTCACCGAATGATTTTTTCTACGAAACAAGAGTAATACATCTGACATTTCTCTTTGTTTATTCCCTTACGTTTTTGAATTGTCTGATTTACTAAACGAAACTAAATCATGTTTAGTGAATCTTATTAGAGGAATAATTTTATTTACCACATGATCGCTTACTAAGTATGTTTGGCACATTGTACTACAACATTTCTCTCAGTGGAGCAGTCGACACGCCCGGAATCACTAGTCAAGCAGTCAGTGAGGCGTGCTGCCCAAGTGCGCGCTGCTAACGTTGCGACGCGCTGGCTGCTTTCAGGCGACGCAGCGGCGCCTCCAGACGCAGCAGCTGCTGCAAACGGCGCTGCGCGGCATGGCGCCCGCGGTGCGCGCCTACACGCACGCGCAGCCCTTCCTGCAGGACACGGCGCCGCTGCTGCTGGACCTGACGGTGCCGGCGCTGCGCCCCGTCAGCGCGCAGCTCTTCTCCGCGCGCGAGCGCGGCGAGATGGCGCACGCCGTCAGCGTCATGCTCGACTACAACCTCACCTACGTGCAGCTGCGCAACGCCGACGGCGCCTACGAGTTCCTGCTCGACCCGTCAGTATTCACTTGCCCCCCCTCGCACGAGTTGCCGGACATTTTTGTTTTCCCCAACTGAGGACATTTTACTTCGAAAAGGAGGACATTTTACTTAAAAAAGGAGGACATTTTACACTTTTACACTTCACGATGTATAGGCAATGTACTCAACAATCCCAAACCATGAATAGTCTTTGAAAACCATGTTAGCCTTTGGGACATTCAAAATGAAATCTTCCTATTCGATAACATCGCACTCACCTTCATTATCTACCGCACAACAAGCATAAATCAGTTGTATATCACATTAAACTTAATGATATATTATGCAGACCATTTATTTGAGTAAAAATGTAGATATTCACGACATTTCCATTTGATGTATTTAATTACTTTAAAATTATACCAGTATTATTGTCAGTTCTACAGAACAAAAAGGAGAATATTCCATGTGCATTTAAAATAAAGAGGGAGGGCAAGAGAACAATGTTAAAAACGGAGGACAAGTCATCCAAAAGGAGAACACATGGCAACCCTGCCCTACGCTTGTCTTAACGCGCTTCCTTTCTGACGAACGGTTTCGGGAGTTTTAGTAAACGCAGTCTCCTGTTGTGATGCTGTGTATGCGCGCGTTCGCTAAAACTTCGGAAATCTTTCGTAAAAAGAAAGTGAGTTAATCGGGACTTGGGATTTAAATAGGAAAGATGAATGCGTTAGTGATTCAATGGGATGCATATCGTGAATTTAGATCAGTTCAAATAACTCGATTATTAACAGCCCAAACCGCCTTAGGTGGTTCAGGGCGTCAACTGGTATCCCTGCATATTAATTATGCTCTCATTGTTGGGAGACCACTCGTGGATTTATAGCATCAGGAGTGCGTAGGGCCCCGCTGATGAGACATAATCTGTGGACACCCCGGAAGCCGCATGTTACCTTGCAGTGGAGAAGGAACACCGCCTCATCCCGTGATAAAACCATGCTACACACTTACGGGAATAATAACCATAGCAGTTGACGCTCCCGGAAACACGAAATAATGTATTGTCGAATGTTTCGGCAGAGAAGTAGCCTTCATCACGGCTGCAGAAGTTGTTTGAAATATCAAACTACGATTCTAGAACTTTTTGTTTTTATCAAACACCCCTAAAAGTAGTAATATTCAGCCGAAACACTGACCAATGTATAATGTGTTATTTAAAACGAGCTAAACTCAAGATGTATATCCAATTAGTAATTTTAGAGATCTAAATACGATATGAGAAGCAATTCATGCCTAAGAAGACTGCACTCTTAGATAGAACTGGCTGCGATAGCTCAGCGGCGACATCATCGCAGCTGTAAAAACGTTGACCCCGAGGTTCAAGGATTCTAGTCTGGACGATGGACGAGTTTCGACAATAATTGCATAACTAGGGCGCATTTGATCATGGTTTTGAGGAGAATTCTCGCAGTTGGCTTTTCGGATCAGTAGTTTTCCGTAGTTTCTTCGATAAATACCGAGCGAATAATAGAGCAGTTCCCGAAAAAACGGCCCACAGACTTTTTTATGTTATTTTAGGTCGCATCAACATCTAGATCATTAGCGACCATTATTGGATTTAACGTTATCGTTACTGTGAAGATGACATCATACGACGTTGGTAGGGGGTAAAAGGAAGAACACAAATACAACCACGCCCGAGGCGGGACTTGAACCCCCGATCCTTCGGACCGAGATCGCTACGACACTACGTACTACCGGCTGTAACATGCAGTGCAGCCACGTACCTAATGGCTGAAGTAGTTTCACGCACTCGATAAAACATAATTGGCTCGACCGGTTTTGCCTTGCTCATTTCCTGTATGGTATGTATTTGCGCTGAAGAGTGTGTCAAGGGTGAGTCATCAGCGAGCGGCGCCGTATGTCGACAGGAACCTGGAGGAGCTGGCGCTGTTCCCCGGCAGCCGGCCCCGGCGCGCGCTCGCCTACGGCTGCAAGCAGCTGCTGGCGCACGAGCTGGAGATGGAGCGCGTGCGGCGGGCGGAGGCGCGCCTCGGCCCCGCCAACGCCCCCGCGCCCGCCCCCGCGCCGGCCCCCGGGGACGCGGCCCCCGCGGACGCCTCGCAGCCGCCCCTCGCCTGCCCGGACCCCGCCGCCGCGCCCGCCCGCCCGCTGCCCAACCACCTGCAGACGCTCAAGGCGCGGCCCGTGCGCCCCGACAGTGCAAGGGTGAGTACGGCCACTCGCATCTTAATCCATCGAATGAATGTTACGAGCTTCTACCGCATGAAGAGGGGTCGAAATTGATCACTTTTAGCCAATAATCAGATAGTAAGAAATTTTACTTCATTGAGACACGTATGTCACTTCTTCCCTTATTATTCGGCAACCCTATATGCACAGGTTTTCGGTAGGTCCATGAACCCCCTCCTTTGTGTTAGAACGTCACGTGATGAAATAATTCAAGCCATTTTCGTCAACTTAATCCCAATACAAGATTACTTCAATTGTGTAATTCTTTAATTACGTCAACAACACCTCATCCGCATTCATAAAGAACGTGACCTGTCGAACAGTAGTACATAAAGAATTACGTAACATCCAGAAACAATTGCTTGCGTAACTCCGTTAAATAGGGAGGGGGTAGAAGAGATTGTGGCTGTGCAACGGTCAAATGATGCCATGCATTTTGTGCCGTAAATGGGTGGCGCAGTCTTTCTCGAGGAGTATCTACTGTCACATTCTCAACGTATGGCAAAATTGTGTTATGGAAGAAAAGAGGGAAAGTTATATACCGAAGGAAGCTGCTGGTGGCTTATTACAAATATTAATTCTTATTAGTTTTATTGGTATTTGCAGTGTATCAATCCCAGATATCAATTTTTTGCCAACAACGCCCCACTCGTTTATGAGTGTATTCCCTACCTTGGTGTCTCCTATGTGTTTCTCAGTGTACCAGTTCAGATAATTTGTGTTCGATTTTGAGGATTCGAATTCGAGGATTAATTGTTCGAAGATGAATTCTAAAATGTCGCTACCCATAAGGCAGACATTTTCGAGGATTCGTCTACTGCGTAACTTGTTTGAATGAACTCGACAACATTGCGAGCATCGGTGTAATGAGCTACACTGCAAGGAATAATTAAGTCGCCACGGATGAACTGATAAGTTACAAAAACATTCTGCCAATCTCGCATTATCCACTGAAAAATAAATCTGCTCACAGTCAAGGCATTCGAACACAGTCGACGTGTAACGAATGAACTGTTAATGAAAATGTAGATACCTTTTGCTCTCGTGGAAAAAAAATACACATGGCGGCTCCTTTCTCTTTCCTTGCTTCCTCGTCGTCGCATTGTTAAATTTCCCTCGCTAAGAAATGAATCAGCAGCGGGAACGATTTATATTCATCTCCACCAAACCAACGACCACCAACTCGCCATAAACCTGGGGACGTCGCGCCGAACGAAATTTCCGACTGCGGCGTTTGCAAGTCCCGAGCCGCGCGCCCCATTTGCGCAAATCTCAAACTTCCTCCCCCACCCTCTCTCTTAGAACCGGCGTCGCCTCGGCTTTGATTTGCGATTTCCTCGAATTTCTTACAACTTCTATTCCTCCCCTTCCCTACCGAAGGAGGGTCCTCGGGAGTAAATAACGGCCTGTTTACGCCCCGCGCCAACCGCGCAAATTCGGTGCGCTGGCGCTAATAAATTCGCAACTTTTTGCGCGCGGCGCGAAGGAGCCGTTAACGCAGATTTGTGGCGGAAACTGCGTCTGGAGTCGCGATGCAAGCGGCCGCGAAGAATACGGAGGAGGAGGCAGAGGGGGCGTGGCTGGCGCAGGTGTTGCGAACTGCGAGCGCGCACCTGAGTGATTTGTAGGTCTTCGGTTGGGCGCGTGACTTCCAAACTGTGCGTCTCGTCTACTGTTTTATTCCTTTGATTTTTTTATGTGGGTGTGTTCGAGATGGATGAAGATGCAGGTTGGTTTAGATTAATTCGGAACTGTTTTTGAGAACTTTTATTTTTTAAATACGAATTTTAATTAAGAGAACATTATTATTTTTTTGTTTAATAATGAGAGCAAACGTATGGGCTACAAATAAGTAGTTTTGAAAAAATTGATAATATTTCAAAAAAAATATATTTAAAGTAATACTTGTGTGTATATTCTGTTCATGTTCGAAATTTAGAAAGATTAAGTACAATTAACTGTTCATTTTAATCTTTTAAAATATAATTTGCCCCAAGAATTTAGAAATTTGCTGTGAATGAAAACAAACGGAAATATCCTCTCTTATGGTTTCAGTCTCTTTAAATTTGTGAGCAAAATGTTGGTAAAAATATCGAAATCACATTGTGGATCTTAAGCGACCTGTTTCAATTTCGCTTGGTGAAAATCAAATTTCTAAATCGTGTCTATTAGCGCGTTAGGTGCTGTTAATCATGTTACAGGTAAGTTTGAATCTATTCAGTGTTCTCAGGGGTTAAGAGTTGCTAGGATGATAATACCTAATATTATTGTAAACTAGTGGAATCCGGCGTTGTACGATTATTATTTAGGAAAAAGAAATTGATTATTTCTGTAGTTTAAAATTTAAGTAATATAATTGGCATTTCTCTTCTCTCCGTCCCACCCCGACCCGCTTGGCCCCGCCGTACACTGTATGGGAAAACAATGATCACAAAAAATAGCCTTAGTTAATATAGTCTATTTTCCGGGAAAATTCCATCAAATTGGTTCAGCTGTTCCCGTGATTAGTCCTTGCAAACAGACAGGAACTGTGGGAGCTTATAAAAAGTGTTACTTTGAAATCACAGACTGTAGCATTACTTTTTTCTTCCTACAGTAAAATAGATAAATGAAACATTGTACTTCGTTGATGGTTGGGATATTATGTATCATTGATTATTATACCGCCAACATTCTCGTGAATATACTCATACGGCACTGAAGGCAAATTTCAAAAAGTTGTATTTTCGCAAACGTAGACAGAACGCGTATTTTTTTCCCTCTTTTTTCATTCCTTTCTCACGGCTGGCTCTCACTGTGTGTACTTCCGCTCGCTCTTTCTCCGCTTCTCCATTTTCGAATTGTTCGTGCGTTTATTTGCGTATTTTCACCCTACTTGCTCGTACTCGCAACGAGAAACGGTGCGCGCCCTCGTCGCACGGGAGTGCGCCCGCCGTTGGACACCCCCCCCCGCTCGCTCGTTCTCCAGCGCGTCCGTCCCAGCGCCTCTTCGTGCTCCGAGGAAGGTTCGTCCCGGCGGAAAATGGGCGTGTGCTGGCGGCCACAACACGGGCTCTTGCCCCAACGCAGAAAAGCGCCCACTCCGAGGCAGCCTTGACGTTGTCAGGTTTCACCGACGGCTGCATCCCAGCTCTCGACTCCCATGGCGCAGCTTTCTTTTTTTTTCCCCCGGCGTTTTCGGACATGCGGCAGTTTTTGCTTCTGGCGTTACAACCCCAGTTCGAGTTTCGGCGTGACAAACCCATACTCTCACTACTGTTGGGAGTCATTGAGGTAATGGAAAAGGAGCCATAACAGGAATGGGCTCTTACCAGTTCAGATAATCTAATTGTTCCAGGTTTATACGATTCGTAACACCATTTAAATAACGAAAGTTTCAATTTCCCCCTCCCCCTCCAAAAAATACGAAAATTATCTTGCATATATTGCTTGTCCTCTGCCTATATTGTTCTACGAAAATTTAAATTGGATATCATGAATCCTTTAGAAGTAATGGAAGTAGTCCACAGTTGACGGTGCTCACTGTATATCATTATATCAGGACTGGCGGAATGCTTTCTTGCGTACTTGCTGTTTCTTCAATGTTTTGCAGAAGCGACTAGCAAAAGATATATGTCATTTCATGAAAATATCTAAACGATTGTCCCTTAAAAGGCAAATAGGAGTTCTCAACTGACGTAATTGCACGCATTGCTTGCGCATGTGCTAACACAATTAGCTAAGTTCCATATGTGAAATAGAATTAGAGATTTTAGGTAATTGTATCGTGTTTTTTTAACAAGAGGGCAATGAAACCACGAATATTTTAATGTTTACATTATTTTTTCATTTCGTATTTTACATTTAATATATATAATATTATATATATAAGCCCTTTTTCAGAAGGAACAAACGTCATACTATAGGAACATTTCCTACATTTACTTATTTTATATTGAGGCGGCAAATGAATATTGCGTTATCTCGGTCGTAATCTCGTGCTTACGTCCATTGGCCGAGTTCCAATCTCAGACGATTAGAAGGTCAATGTTATTTACGAGCTGTATCGCTCCGAATACGTATGCTGTTCTTCCCCCTCGCGACTTTTTCTCCCCCGCCCTCTGTCGCGATGTGGAAGTGAGTCAACACAAAAACGCTCTCGCTGCGCAATTATGCGTTGATTCTCGTTCGTTTCACAATTCATGCACTGCGCGAGCGGAGGTAATGCATTCCACGAGCGTTCTTTGTTGATCTCGGGAAGCCTCGCCCTCATGTACATTAAACAAGACGGCATTACCTCAGGCCAGCCGCTGTGAGGTGTCATACCGAATAACTTCACCGGGCTCGACGGGTGGCTTCGGATATTTTTTTGTTTGTTTGTTTAAACGTAGGGCAGTGCATCATTGGACTTAAGTGCCGGACTTCATCCTTCTAAACCCCCAGCCGTGAGATGGGCGTTTTCAGCAAATGGTGCTTCGGAGCTTTAAGTTATAGGGTATCCTCCTACTGCAAAAGTTATGTTTTTAATTTCTTGTATTCGCTATATAATATTTACGATGAGTGAAAACGGAATTTTTTATTCTTATTATATACAATTGGTTCCTTTTTTGGAGGAGAGAGCTCTTCGAGTCCACTATTGTCCGATATACGCGAAAAATCGTTGATTGTTATTTGTGTGTCAAAATATTTTAACAGAAACAAGGGATCATAGCGAGAATATTCCAACTGACGCTTTGAAATGTCAATCCTGTTCTTTTAGTCGATTTGTAATACCGAGGAAAGTTTTGTGGCTTTTGAAGTGAACGTGTTAACTATTTTTAAGTCTCTAAGTAACCCACAAAATAAAGATAATTGGATGATTAAAAATATGTATGGATTGAGTGTATTTCATTGATTTTCTGTGCCACGGCGAAGGATAGCTCTACACACACATATCAACGCATGACAAAGAAATATAAAAAAAATGTATATGCATATGGCAATAATATATTATTATT